GGGGGGGGGGGGGGGGGCAACGTACCGGGAATACAGAAGCTTCACCGGCTTTGCAACTTGTCTGAACCTCGTTATAAAATTGGGATATGACTCTAACAAAAAAGAAGACACACGAAGTGCACACTTCCTAGATGATTTAGAAGACTCAGGAAGAAGAGAGTTTCGTAATAATTTATATACAGTCCAAACAATATCAAAACGGTAAAAAACAGCATTTAGCACATTAGGCTCAAACATGTAAAAATCAGATAATAAATAAACCCAAGTATAACAGTTATTTTAAGCTCAAATTCTTGAACCCTGAACAAAAGTTCTGGGTTATGATCCCCAACAGAGTCTCCAGAGCTGTCACACCTCCTTTTTTACCCGTCCGAGGGGGTATATAAGGAAGTTTTTTCAATTAAAGTGACATTATTCGAAATGAGATTATTTTATTTAATTTATCAGAGTCGCCAATTGGAATAGTTTATTTGGTGTCCCAAGTCACCGGTTTATTTTAAAATCCCAAATCGAGGAAACTAACTTTATTTTATATGTTTGCGAACCAAAAATTCTAAATAAATAATTCTGTTAACCTAGGAGAAGGTGTTAGGAATTCTTGGGTTTCGTGGTTCTAGTACGGTTGCTTAAACTATTAGAAATGGCCTATTTGATTTACTACATGTTTTAACCCTATTGTGCATTTTAGCTTTAGAACCGCTTTTAGGAAGATTCAACGTTATTTAAAACACGTCTTAAACCACGCTACATGAAATGCACATGTGGTTCGCGACACGTTCCATTTAACATTGTTGAGAAATTGAAGTTGGGTCACATGAAATGTACACCTGGATTTAGTAATTAAAATCACAACTACGTCACGGGAACCGTACCCATAGCTATGATTGAATTATTTAAAGAAAACGCCTAAAGCAGCTACGAAGGTTCAAATTATTAACAATATTTATGAGGACCATAGAGAGTTTAATTGATGGCACACCTCAATTTTTACAAGGATTAACTTTTGAATTAATTTCATAAGGGCCATGGGTTAAGGAGTTTTATGGCACACCTCAAACCTTTTTCTATAAGTGTTAACTCCTGAATCTAATCTTATAAGGGCCATGGATTATAAATTTTGCTTGGCATGACACGCCTCAATTTATTTCCAAGGGTTTTATTATTCGATGTTGTTATGATCGGGTTACATGAAATGCACCCCCGAATTTGGGAATTAGGTATCGTGAGGGAACCGTACCCATAGTCACGATGATTTATTAATCGCGCCTAAAGCAAGCTACGATGTTTGTGATTTATCTCCTAATCTAATTTGAGATTATTGAGAGGCCAACAGTATGGAAGAAGTAAACTTAACAACCAATATAGTTTCACCATGCCAAAATTGTAGCTAACATTGAACAATTTAAAAGGAGTGACAACCTGATTTTACAAGTTACACAAACACATTCAAGATCATATGAATCTATATATGTGCAAAATTGCAGTCTAACATTGCATAAAAGAATTTTTAAGAACATGAAATTATTGTGTTACAGTGACCATTCAAATTCAAACTCAAAGCTTTCGATATACATCAAGGATCTCAACTAACTCCAACCTAAATCCAAATCCTCCTCCCCGATTGCTACCGCCATTAACGAGTCTTCTTTCTCTGACATGTTCAAATTGGGGAGAACAAAACTTAGAGTATGCAAAAAAAATGGGCATGACAAAAACAACTTACCCAACATTAAATATGCAACATTCACTCAAGAAGATGTCCAATTACAATGCATCCAAAAAGAAACAGAGTTATGGAATCCATAGAGATTTGATCATCATCTGACAACATGCTTACTAAAACTAACCACAAAGCAACTTTGTCAGTACTTAAATACTATTACCAAAGATAAAAGACATCATATAACCACCAAATTGAAGAATTTTGGCATCAGATTCCTTTCAGCCTAACAGCTTCACTATGCCAATACAATCAGTAGAGCTCATTTTTGCAGACTGATTAACAACCACACAGAAATATTGCAATGAGAATTCCCAATTGAACGAAAAAAAACATCAAAGTACAGAAGTATCACAAATAGACTTTAATTATGACATACTAAACTTGAAACATAAAACGAGATCTAAAGCTAAGCAAATATCGAAATCCAACATTGATTTCCATATTCTTCAACAGAAGTGTGTTCCCATCAAATATGTAACCCAGAATTCATAGAAGAGTATCTGGTTGAACAAGAAAATTTGAATAAACTGACCAAAAAAAACGAGACAAACTCGATCGAAGCTCAGTAGAAACTTCAACAATCAACAGCAGTGAGTAAGCCCCCAAACCAGAGGAAGAAAATTTTGAAACCTGCCTGAGGGAGAAAGTCTAATTTTTGGGTCTCTTGTGTAAAGATGAGGAATGGAGCAGCGTTTTCTTTTTTTTTGGGTGTTGAAGAAAAATGGTGAAGAAGCCCTTTTCTTCCCAGATGCGTCGTTGTTCTGTTGTGTAGGGGTCTCCGATTTTTCTTGTTAAGGGTCTTAGGATCTAATCATTTTCTAAGAAAAATCGAGAAGAAGCTGAAGGGAGCTCCTGCGCCATATTTTTCAGATGAGATGAGAGTCCCCCATTATCTGATGTTCTGATGTCTCTTAGGTTTAGGAAAGGAATGGAGAATGATTTAGGTGTTTTAAGGAGTGATATGGGCCAGGGATGGATTGGGCTTCTAGAGGGGATGTGCTAAAACAGGTTTGGAGAGGGAATAGGTTTTCTGAAACCAAATTTAGCCCAATTTCCAAATTAAAAGAAAACCTACTCATTTTTTCTTTTGTTTCTTCTTTTCCTTTTCTTTAATTAAAAACCTAGATAAATTAATTAAGTTCTAAATTTAATCCTAAATTATAAAACTAAACTAATCATCTATTTGTACTATTTACCAATTAATTAATCCTAAATTAATAAAGAAAAAATTACTATTCCCATATTAAAAGCTAAAACTGTAAAAATGAACAATATTTTTTTGTGATTTTTATTTTAAAAAAGCAATTAATTAAATAATTAATCCTAAAATATGAACACAAAACCTAATATGCAATGCATGACATTTTTGGCATTTTTCGTGATTTTTAATAAAATTAAACGTGCATAGAAAGGTAAACAATTAATAAAATTCTACGAAAGATCCTAAAAAATGGCAAATAATTAAGAAAAAATCTATTTTCTTGGGATTTTATAGGAGTATTTCGTATAGGGCAAAAATCACATACTCACAGCTGCCTCTCTATGCTCGGAAACACGACGGATCTTCGGGCAAAGATAAAATGAGCAATTATGAGGGATTTTTGCTCGTTTGAAACTCCATGAGAAGCATTTTGAAAGCGTTTGATCGAACCTTGCTTCAGAGGTTGCTTACATATCCTTGGCTATAAAGAAATCAGGTCGGTGTAGTTCTGGAAGTATTGGTAGCTGGGACTACCGGGAAGTTGTGATTTCACTACTGTTACTGCTGTTTCTGCTTGCCGAGCTCTTTATTACACCGAAATGAAAAATGAAAAACTAAACTAGCTAAGCCTATCAGATACGAGTTACAAGATTCCTATTTATAAATCTTCTGAAGCTTGATCTTGAGTCTTGGCTGGTTCTTCCTGCTAACTATGATATGAATCTTGATGCTCGTTAGTTGCGAACGCTGGTTCATTTTTCTTCAGCTATTCGAATCAAGGCGGGACATGCAAAACTTGTGACTTCAATCATATCTTGAGCAGTCCGCATCTTTTTTCCGCTTCTACACTTAGAGTTTAACTTCTCTTTTTGTTCTTCCTTTCTTTTATTAGGGTCAAGACTTCTTCTTTTGGTCATCTCAAACCTTGTGTGTAACGACCCGACCGGTCGTTTTGAGATTTTGCACTTGAACCTTGTAATTCGAAAGGTTTGACCAAGATTTGACTTGTTTATAAATGATCTCGGATCGGAATTTTTATGATTTGGTCAGCTCCGTTAGGTGCTTTAGGACTTAGAAGCATGATGGGAATGCATTTTGGAAGTCTGTGGAAGGTTTAGACTTGAATTGGCGAAATTTAGATTTCGGCGTTTTTCAGTTGATATGTGAGATTTTGATATAGAGGTCAGAATGGAAGTTCAGAAGTTGCAGTAGTTCCGTTGTGTCATTTGGGATGTGTGTGCAAAATTCAGGTCATATGGACGTGGTTTGGTTGGGTTTTTGATCAAAAGCGAAATTCGAAAGATTTTAGAAAGTTTTGCTTGAATCTAATCTGTTTTGGGTGATTTGATGTTGTTCGAGGTGTTTCGATGGACGAAATAAGTTTGAATAAGGTATTAGAATATGTTGGTACTTTTGGTCGAGGTCCCGAGGGCCTCAGGGTGATTTCGGATGGTTGACAGAGAAGTTTGGATTTTGTTGCAGCTACTGAATTTGCTGCTTCTGCTATTTTCGCACATGCCGATTGGGGACCGCAAGTGCGGTGCCGCATAAGTGGAGTTTTAGTTGCAGAAGAGGAAAAGGGATTGAGGAGCAGAAACCGCAGAAGCAGCTACATGGACATGCGGAGCCGCGAATGCGGAAGTGTGATCGCAGATGCATAATTTCGACTGTTTAGTGATTTCCGAAGAAGCGGGTGAGAGACCGCAAATGCGGTACCGCAGGTGCATGGATTGACTGCAGATGCGAGACCTGGTGTCATAAGTGAAATCCGTAGAAGCGGGTGTTTTTCCGCAGAAGCGGAGACGTAGATGCGCTTATAAGATCGCAGGTGCAAAAGAGCTGGGCAGAAGGTATAAAAATGCCCCTTCGCGATTTTCAGTCATTTGTTCACCATTATTGTGCGATTTGGAGCTCCAAGCTATGATTTCAAGAGGGGATCAAGTGTATCCACAGAGTAAAGCAACTTGGGCTTTATACCTTGTGTTTACGGTGATTATATCATTGTTTAATCATGAAAATTTGGGGGAAATTAGAGGAAGAGTTGGGAATTTAGGGCTTGAAATTGGAGAGTGAATTTTTAGAATTTGAGGGACCAGATGAGGTCGGATTTTGGTAAATTTGATATGTATGAACTCGTGAGAGGATGAGGATTCTATTGATGTTAATATCGAGTTTCGAGACGTGGGCCCAGGGGCCGAGTTTGAGCAAATTCGGGATTTGGATGTAAATTGGATATTTTCGAGTGAGATTCGTTCCATTTGCATATTTTAATGATTACGTAATGATTATGGCTAGATTTGAAGCATCTGGAGGTCGATTTGTGCGGGCGAAGGCATCACGGGCTAGAGGTTGGATAGGATCGAGGTGAGTAATGATTGTAAATGATGTTCTGAGGGTTTGAAACCTCGGATTGCATATCATAGTGCTATATTAAGGTGAGGCACACGCTTGATGACGAGCGTGAGATCATGCACTATTGGGGATTGTGACTTGGTCCGTCCCGATTGATGATTTTACCGCATATTTGACTGAAATCTATTTGCTATCATCATTATTTGGGCTGAATGCCATATTTGGGCTTCGTGCCAATTATTTGAACCCTTAAGGGATTTTATTGATATTTCCTCACTGTTTTGACTTTAAACTTGTTCTCAGTCATGCTATATTCTAATGTTTTCAAAACTCAACCATGTTTACTCTGCTTTAAATTTTAAAATAATAGTTTAAAACATATTTTGGGTTGGGCATCATGTTTTACTGTTGCCCGAGTGGCTTATGTGATTTTTTGACTGAGTAAGGCCGAGGGACTGTGTTGTGAGGATACTTTTGCGTCGGGCTGCATGCCGCAGCGGTGATACACTGATTTGATATGAGGCTAAGGGCCTGAGATATGTACGCCACGAGGTGGCTTGTTGATATTGATATGAGGTCGAGAGCCTGTTTATGATGCCACGAGGTGGCTTGATATTGCGCTTGGGTCGTAAGGGGCCCCTCCAGGAGCCTGCACACCCCTAGTGAGCGCGGGTACCCATTGTGTTGTGAGATACAGCCCGAGGGGCAGGTATTATTCTGAGATATTGCCCGAGGAGCAGATTGGTTGACATTGTGCCCGAGGGGAGAACCTTATGTGCATATCTTTCTTATTTTCCTATCATGTACCTGTTTAATTGTGTAATTGTGCTTGATGGGCGGATTTCTGTGCTTATCTGCACTAATTGTTTTGCATTCATTTTCGTATATGTTGAAAAAGTCATTTTCAAAGATTTTTAAACTTAGCTAAGATATTTTAAGAGCTTTTACAGATTCATTGCTTCTTACTAGTTTTTGAACTGCTTCTATACAACATGTTAATGCACTTTTTGTGATTTCTTACCATTCAGACTTTAGTTATGATTATTACTCACTGAGTTGGAGTACTCACTTTACTCCCTGCACCTTGTGTGCAGATTCAGGTATTTTTGAACTCGGTAGCGAGTATTGGCTGATCGGAGGCAGAGTCATCGGAGCTTAGCAAGGTAGTTGTCGGCGTTCGCAGCATTGCTTTTCTCCCTCTTTATTTCATTAGTCCATATTTTGTACGTTTCAGACTTTTCAGTTGTATTTAGACACCAGTAGATGCTTGTGACTTGTGACACCCCGGTTAGGGCTGTGTTGGGTTGTACTTCCGCATTTTTATCGATATTATCTGCTACTTCATATTATTAATCATGTCTTAGACTGTTTTAGTGTTGGTTTTTTACTTTTTAACGTTGAATTGGGAATAGTTGGTTGGCGTTGTCTTCACGAGAGGCGCCATCACGATCGGGTCCGGGTTAGGGTCGTGACAAGTAGGTATCAGAGCCTAGGTTACATAGGTCTCACGAATCATGAGTAGGTTTAATAGAGTCTCGAGGATTTATACGGAGACGTCTGTATTTATCCTCGAGAGGCTGCATAACCTTTAGGAGAAACTTCACATTCTTGAATTCTTATCGTGCGTCCTTGATTCAACTTGAAATGTAACTCTTTGAATTCCTTCCACGCATTTGTATGCGCGCATAAGCGCTCAGTATCAGATGTGCATTGATGGCTTGTGACTCCCTGATAGAGGGGCGAGATGTGATCTCTGTGAGTTGATGTTGGGCCAGTCAGGAGGACTTGAGACTGGATCTTTGCCTATAGCTTGAGCACCGAGGTGCTGACTGTGTGAGCAAGTGTTTTTGAACTTATATGTTCGGCAGTGTCCCTATTAGTGGAAGTGACGGCGGGATGCTATGTGATGAGTATGTTAGTACTGCAAGATTTACCCATATGATTTGGAAATGACGAGAAGGGTCTGCTGGAGGATAGAAGAACTATTAGGTGCTTTATTTTCATCTCGATTGGAGGTATAGCCCCGAGTTAGGGGCGTGTGAAGAATCTTTTCATATTTCCCAGTTGTGAGTGAAGTAAATTTCAAATTGCGGTATGAGTTCAGATTCAGGAGGACTAAGTAACTGCGTACAGTTTATAACGGTGGGGAGGTATATAGAAATGTTAGTTGGAGGCAAAATAGGTGGGTTATTTCCTGCAAAGTGTTCTGAGGTTGAGCGATCCTTATGCGTCTGTTAGAAGATCTTATTTGCGAGCGAAAGATATGTGTTGTAATTTAAATTGGGTCGCTTAGAGAGTGGGTGTAACTGTTGTCAGAGTGAATGTGAGATTTGCAGAAGAGTTAAAATTCTAGATGATCTATGTTTCACAAGCTTGCAA